TCAGTTAGAGTACCGAAAAGCAAGGAAAAATAAGGGGGTACGGCTAAGAGGAAAAGGGGAGAGGTGATGAAAAGTAATTGATCACTGCAGCGCCGGCGCCCTGCTGCCCTGCGGGGCGCGGGGGGGTGGGCGGGAGAGGAGCAAAATGGTGTGGCTGCAATGAGGACAGCATGGTGGTGCCTTCAATTAAAGAAATAAAAGGAGTGCAGTATGACTCAGCAACTGCCTTCCCGGGAATAGAAACACAAACGTTGACAGCAGGGACCCCAGGGGCGTTTGCACACGCACGTCAACAGCAGGGCCCACAAGTGCCCAAGGGGGTGGCAACCCCAATGTCCATCAACAGATGAGCAGGCAGATCACAGGTGGTATCCACAGGCAGTGGAATAACAGTCTTCGCTGGGGGGCGGAATTCCAAGCAGCCTGAAGACCTAGATGCTAAGTCAGTCACAGCAAGATGAATTCTATGTGAGTCCACTTATTTGAGGACCATAGGCTAACCAAGTCACAGAAATAGTAGAAAGTGGCTTCCAGGAGAAACCTGGAAACTTTCTTCTCAAAGTCGCATGTGTATATAAATATCATTTGTTTGGACTCAGCACAGGCAATGCCGCGGGTTGTTGGCCTACATCTGCTCTCAAGTCTTCAAGCTTTGTCGGTCTACCCAGCCGCCCTGACAACATGGAAAAGCGCCAGAGTTGATGGTTCTTGGAATGCTAAAAGCAAATGAATTTGAAAAGAAAAACCAGTCAGGAATCCTCCCTGGTGGTGCAGCGGGTTAAAGCACAGCACTAAGAAGCTAAAGCCACATCAGCGGGACTTCCATCCCCGCCCGCAGGTGATACACATGGCGCGGCAGACCTCTCCTGACCCGCCCACAGCTCTCCTTAGCCGTGTACTTTGTCAGTCGGCCTGTTCTGCTCCCCACTCTGTTTCTGCTGAAGCCTCTCACCGCCCTGCACCTCTGGCCTGTACCCTAGTGCAGGGTAAAAACAAACAAACAAACAAACAATCAGGAAAAGGGTTTAATTCACCTTACAGCTGGTGAAGACTTTTTAGGCATTACATCAAAGGCATGATCTGTGACATAAATCGCTGCTAAGCTGACTTCACTCAAGTTAAACACTTCTACTGTGAGAAAGGCACCGACAAGTGAATAAAAAAAAAAAAAGACTGGGGGAAATATTGCAAAAGCCAAATCCAATAAATAAAGGACTGTTATTAGAAGTATATAAACAACTCTTAAAATTCAACAAGTAGACAACAATCTGATTTTTAAATGGGCGAAAGACCTGAGCAGATGTCTCACCAAAAACATCACGTGACCAAAAAACCCATATACAAAAAGATGCTCCTCATTAGAAGAGTCAAACAACCAGAGAGGATTGCACAGCTATTAGAACGGCCAAAATCTAATCACCGACAACAGCAAGTGCTGACGAGGCTGTGGAGCCTCGGGACCCTCCTCCATGCTGGGATATACCACAGTTCTTCAGCAGTTTCTTACAACACTGGGTGGATCCCTAGCACGGATCTGTGCTCGGGAATATTTTCTGAAAACATATGTCCCCACAAAAGCCTATAGCGAGAGGATGTTTCTAGCAATTTTCGTAAAGATCAAACCTTGAAACCACCCAAGTGGCCCTTCAGTAGGTGGTGAAAGGCTAAATAAGCTGTGACACGAACATGCAACAGAGTGCTTTCAGCCTAGAAAGAAACTACCAGGCCGTGCAAAGACCTGGAGGGATCCTACACGTCTGAAAGACCACAGCCCCCCACAACGCCAGCAGCAGACTCAGGGGTGCTGGGGGCCCAGCTCCGGTTACTGAGAGTTTTATTGCCCCATGGCATCATTAAAAAGCCTTCCCGTTAATTAGATATATATTCTGTAATGTCAGCCTTCGTGGCAAAAATTCACTTGTTGCTGTTTGGAAGCGCGGAAGCTTCCCGAAGGCCCGGGACCAGGGGACTAATCTAATCTGGGCGGTTTGGGGTTCACGTGCCAGTAGACCTCAATCGTCCCTTTGCACCTCGGGGTGCGGGATGCGGGGTACAAAAAGGAGCACACCTGCCCTCCCAGGGGTTCGCTCCGCCTGCGCGCTTCGGGAGTAGCCGCCGGACCAGCCCTTGAGATTGAAGACCAACGGTGGGACCGCCCTACACTTAGAGGCGCCAGCACCCACTCTTCCAACTCCACGGGCGCCGGGGAAGACCCGGTTTGCATACGAATCACCCACAATGCTCTGCGCAGGGCTGCCGGCGTTCCTTTAATTCCGCTGAAGAGGAAGAAAGTCTTCTCCTGACAAGGGTCTTATGTTCAGTATTTTCGTTTTAAAATACTCCGCGGTTTTTGCGGAGGTGAGTTTACATGTTAATTTTTTTAAGAGAAACAAAGTAAAAAATCACCATAAGTGCAAAAGAGATGGGGGCTTGGAGATTTATATAAGCTGCGGTGGAAAGTGGTGCCTTGGCTGGTCCGAGTGCAGTGGTGTTTACAATTAATTGATCACAGCCAGTTACAGATTTCTTTGTTCCTTCTCCACTCCCACTGCTTCACTTGACTAGCCTTTTGCTGCGAAGCAGGGGAGGGAAATTCTTAGGGCCCTTCTTGCAAGAGAGGTTCTATTGCTAGAACATTGAAGAGTCAGGTCTTTCCTCTTGCATTTTACATCAGAAAATGCATCACATATAGCCACCGGCTAGGGAGGATGACTAGTGGACAACAGCGTTCATGCACTTGCATGCACCACGTTGAACACGAAGGCCCCTGGTCCCCGAAGTGTCCCTTGAGAACACCAAGAGCCAGAAGCTGAGGGGACCTGGGGAATGGGCCCTACCGCACGCACCTGCTTATCCAGTGTCCGGCCAGGGGACCACGCAGCCGCACAGCAAGGGCTGGGGGGTGGGGGGGACAGTGGAAAGAGCTCTCACTTTGCAAGATGCCAAGCCATTTGCAGAGCTTGCTTCGACTTCACCCTACAAACACAGTAAAGCACTTTACAGATGTGCGTTAGCTTGTCAGTGTTAACACAAAGCAGGGAAGAGAGGAGGAAGGAACCCCAAGATGGTGGACGCAGGCTACAGATGCCGGGTGCTGAGAATGAACCAAACAAGCCTTGAAGCCCTCAGTCTCCTGGTTCCGGATACTGACTTAGCCCCGGGCCCCGAGCTTCCCTTCTCTAGATAAACTTACAGTTTTTGGTATTTAACAAATAAAGAAATAAATAATCCCCTTGTCTCGTCTCAACGGGACAAGAAAGAAGCCTTGCGTCCCGGTTCCCACTACTCTGTTTTGTGTCTGCAATTTCTTTATTTCAAGGTTCTTTCGGACTCAACCCTGCTCTCGGAGCTGGACTCCGGCACACCTCATCAAATACAAAACAGGCAAAGGGTTTCTCTCTGGCAACTTGCAGCTGCCTGTGGCCACAGACTTACTCTTGCGCAGCCTCCTTGCCGCCAGGGGCCGGCGGATTCCGCGCTCCTGGGCGAGTTTGCCGGCCCGTGATCACAGCGCAGCCGTGAGCGTCAGCGACCGCTGTAGCTCTGGGCTTCACCAAGTCGGGGCTCACCCAGGAGGGAGGAAGCAGGATGTCGAGAGAGAAGCCCCCCAAGAGCCCTGGGCCTCTCCAAGCCCTGGCTGCACAGGGTGGCGCTCCCCACGCCACTTACTTCTCTGCGGGGTCGCCGGAGACCAAACAGGGTGAAGGCACCAGGCATGTGCCCTTGACACAGTCGGGGCGCTGCAACCAGCTGCTGGTGCTGTTCGGGGTACGCGGGGGGGGGGGGTAGGGGCATTTGTAATTGTTTGAGGTTCATCCATGTTGATCCAAGTGTAGTTTTATTTATCTTCTTGGTTGTATTGTATTCCACATTGACTTTATACATTTACCAGGTGAGAAAATTTTTGATGCATTTTTATTTTTAATGTATTTGGCAGTTTTTCTGTGTATATTCTTAGTGGAATTGCTGCTTTGCGAAATGCAGATGTTGAACTCTACAAGATAATTCAAATTCTTTTGAAAATGATGTGTCATTTTATATTCTGCCCAGTAACACATAATTTCTCATCACTTCATATCACTTCGATTGATATGGCTGTTATTTTAAAAATTAGCACATGCGATGAATTTTAAATGCTATATTAATTTGCGGGAAAAGCAAAAGCCTTACCCTCCGCTCCCACTGCACCGGCTCCCCTTGATCTCTTGGGACAGGCACCGCAGCCACCGAGCCTTGGTATCTATTACATGGTTATTTGATTGATTTTTGGTCTGAGATTTTGTTTCCCCAAATTCACTGTTGGCTCAAGGGCAAGGCCGGTGCTTTGAAATGCTTTCAAGCTCTACCTAGTCGCCCCCCCGGTGCTGCTTTCAAAATGTTCCAATTAAGATGGCAACAAGAACGTGTTCCAGTTCGGCAAAAGACTAGTCAAGTGCAGTAGTGAGAAGGGGGGAGAGAGTAGAACGAGGAGTTCGATCTGTAACTGACTTGAGCAATCAATTGAGATAACTCACTACCTTCGGACCAGCCGAGGAGCGCCTCGCTGCCTGAGGTATTTAAAGCACAAAAGATCATTCACTTTTACCTTGTGGTGACACCGTATTTAGCCCTTATTGGTAATTCGCCCCACTGCATGGATGGTACACAGCCCGTCTGAATACTTCGAGGCCTTATTTAGTAGCATAGAACAGAATGGATTGAACAATAAGAACCAGAATTATCGCTGAG